TGTAAAGGGTAAGTATGGAAGAGAGTAGCATTAATGTTGGTATTATTCTTTGCTATTCTATTTTCTCATATGATTCAATCACCAATATCAATAGCCTTGTCGAATTGATCGTTCTTAACATTGGTCTGGAGGCTGGTGTCATTGACGGAAAAGTCTTTGCAATTCTTGTGGTTATGTAAGTTTTATCCAAATGTTGACGGTTTTGTCATATTTTCATACCAGACCGAGTTTATAACATGGATGATATCATTTAATGTCATGTAGGGCCATTGTAACAACTTGTCTCACAACACCTCTTGCATTGAAAGTATTCAGAAAGTCTGCAAGACAAGAACGACCCAACTTGGAGCTATCCTGCACTACCATCGATTACTCTAAGAAGAACAATATACTCGTCGTACTAAACAAAGCAGAATTTATATCGTCTTTGATGACTCTACTTCAGCTCCTCCAACCAACTGCGTCACGACGCGATTCCATGTCTATATCTCACGACGGGAATAACTCAAACAGATCAAATGGCTCCGATGATACAATAATGCTTCATGTTTTGCGTCTAATGGAACTGGGCCAACGTCTGTCAGCAATTATGAAGTCGTGTGAAAGCGCCAACATTGCCCATCACGATCCTATCATAAACGTGTTTCATATGTTCGGTAGGCTAAACTTTTTTGATGTCGAAGCCACTTTATCGTTTAGACCATTTCACAAGTTTGCAGACCAAGTCGTGCAAAGCGCGAAACAATCATCAGCTAATCTTGTAATAATACCCTGGAATGGGGCTGGCTCGACTGCGTACGATACACCTGAAGACTTTTATAAGCCTCGTGAATATTCAGACACTAATCCTCAGGTAGCTCAATTCATACAAGAGGCATATAGAGTAATTGATGGCATAACAGTAGGCGTATTCATCGACAGAGGCCTCGGAATGGCTCCGGGTAGACCCGGGTGTCGAGATGTTAGTATTTCGGTATTCGTTCCGTTTGTTGCTGGCTCTGATGACCGCGAAGCACTATTACTACTCGCTCGATTGGCAGAGAATCCACGTGTCGACGCAACAGTTCTAAGGATAACAAAGTCAACAGAGCCAACTGATAACGACAGTCGACTAATACCTGTATCCACACCAACAATGAGGACGGTACAGATTAACCCCGATGATACACGGACTGATGAAGAGGGACCAGTCAACCCACATATAGCAAATCTACAAAAACCTCCACCAGCTCATCACATGTCATCTGCTTCGATATCCGTTATTAACTATTCTACGGCTGATCGGATAGCATCTAATGCGGCCGATGAACTACTTATTGACAAGTATTTTGGTCCTCATGGTTCGCTCAATTCTAATCCGCGCGTAAAGTACATTTCTCTGAGATCTGCTACACCTATGCAAACTGCTGTTGAGTATGCGAAGGATGTAGTTGAAAGGAAAGACCTTGTAATAGTTGGACATGGACAACACAATGTTACTTATAGTCATCGTGATGAGTGGATGGAGATAATTAGACAATTGAGAATCAGTAGTAATGATATGCGTAGGAGTCTGGGTGAAATGGCCACTGCTATGCTCGGTGGTGGTGTAGAAGCGAGCATATTTGTTGTTCAAGGAAAGAAGGAGAATAGGTAAACACGTTAAAATGGGATCCACAATTAGTTTCAGTTCTTATAACAAATTACGAACAATTGTCTCGAGCGAGATAAATCGTCTGGACCAAAAATGGTATATTTACTGCAAATCACTGACGGATTTTGATTTTGTGTGGTTCCTTCACAGAAGTCGTTTCGTTCCCCCACAAATTCTTGACAGGGTTGGGATTTAATGCGAGCTTGTAAAGTACATGATTATTTGAATACATATCAAAGTCCACGCTAGAACATACTTTGCGAAAAAGGTTTAGTTACAAACAATTGCTGTTACTAAAGAGTTCTACACAGTCGAACAATAAGTTCGAGAGGCCAACTCGTATTTCTTCCGAAGTTTGCGGAGACATGCGTGACGTGTTATTCGAAAATATGACTGAATGTAGGCCTGCTGCTGTAACGAGTGATGTCGGGCTCGGTGGCGACTCCACTTTCAACGCTCAGATTAATGTAAATAGCGTTTGACGATCTAAACTTGAAAAGTATAGGATTAAGTATTTGTTTATAGGGGTCCAACTAGCCCGCTTTAACCAATAAAGGTTACTCAACAAAAGATATGTTCTTTTAATGTAAACCGAAAATGAGCATAAAAAAAGCGAAAGCAATTTGTGGTAGCAAGATCGTATCAAGTTTCAAATGTTATGTGAATTACACGTACTACTTGTAATATAATCCAATTATCGAATTTGGCAAATGAAGGTTTCGAATCATTAATCAATATTTTATAAACGAGGGATGCCCGCATATCAAAGCATTTATTTGATCTAATTTCTTGACCTCGCACACGATTATTATCATGGGTCGATGGCCGATTGGCATAGCAAGAATATCCGAATGATTAATGATGCATTATGAAGAGAATGTCTCTACGATTCAAATATCAGAGCTGAATAAAATTTGAGTTTCGGGCAAACTCGTGGCATTGCAACAATTCGAACGATTTATTTAAATTTTAAATTTTATAAATGCTGAACTCTAATCGAAGGCTGTACAATACACAATGTTCTTTGATTATAGTCTAGGCGCATTAATACTGTGTGAGGTTGTTCACAGATTCTCTCTCATACAGACGATCAACCGTTTCCAAGCCACAAAAGCCATTTTTTGTTAGTGGCGCATTATACTATTTTTATTACTTTGCACTAATATAAATTTGAATTTGATATCACTTAAACCCTTGGCCAATTATTCGTTATCCTCGGATATTTATAACAATAAGATTCTCTCCCCTTCCCCCCTCCACCTTCCACAAGGGGCTTTGCGAAAGAAAATGGCAATGTCCGACTAGTGGCTTTGGCTCGTATACACATGGTCATTAAACCACTCCTGTTTGCAACAATGGCCACTAACGAATTATGGAATTGCATGAAAGATTATAGATTAATACAATATGCAATTTGTAACGAATTGATATTTCAAATTATTTTAATATTAATAAAATATACTTTGTCTCTGTCGACAAATACTCGATTTCATTCTTTTCTCTCTTCTCGCCTTTCCCTTTTCTTTCCTCTCCTTTCCTCTAAAAGACTAGTCGTGTCCTTAGACATATTTACCATCTACTGTTAGGACTTCAACTAGAAAAGATTCTATTATAGTGGAACCGTAATTACAACGTAAAATGTACAGCAATTCGTATGCAAGGGCAAGGTTACCTACCGAGTATAATTCTGGTGCTGCCGAAAGTGCCTCTGGACATAATACTTACCCTTTGGAGAAACCCGAAGACGGCATTTCAGTAGGAAGTGACGGTGACGGCTGGCTCTTTAGGCCACCTGAGAATGGACATGTCATTACGAGAGGCGAAGTCATTTCTCGAATAGTACCGTACTACGAAGTAAGTACTAGGAAAACGACTACCATAATTTAGTCTATTCGTCTTCAAGGTTGATTTATTACCAGGATTTATGTGACCAACCAGTATGGAGAAGAAACTTGATAGTATTTCCCAATCAATTGATCAATTATCTCTCTCTCTCTCTCTCTCTCTCTCTTTTCTCGCCCCCACGTAGATGTTCTTGACAAACGTATTCCTACTGGGTTGGAACGTTCTCAGGGATGCCAGCGCATCAGTAAAGGTTGACTATTCAGTAACACTTTTTCAAGCTTGCTCAGATCGTTACGACATTCCTGGCTTTGATTATTGTGCAGCATCCCGACTCGTATGGGGACTCGCTGGGGGTGCAGTAATCTACTTTGCTGTCACGTTCCTCATTGCTTTGTTACTCTGGATTGAATTGCGACGAAAAGGATATCATTCAACGTTTACTGCCTTGTGGCATTCTCCGATATTCATTTTCTGCTTTCTCTTTCCGGAAGAGAAGCGTGTCGACATTTTGAGTATCCCGAACAAATACGTAGAACTGTCATTATGGACACGGGCCCACTTCCATAAGATTGCATTGGCCATTTATTGCGCAGTGTGTTTGGGTTTAGTTATCATGTCTTTGACCAGAGGGTAAGCAAATGGATGGAATATTTCAATGTCTCAAGAACAGAAACAGGAAATATGGGATAGTTGTTAAGAATTGATATGCATAGTAGAAGTTATGAGTGGAGCAATAATAAATTTTTGATATCGAGACTCATACACTAACCAAGCTTTCATGTCTTTTTAAAGGACTGCTGAAACGTTTGTCATCGAAGGCCAGCAATTAGACGAAGGTTTACACAAATGTATGCAGATTTTTTCCATTCATTCCGCTTTCTGACTTTTATGAACTTGATTTTCCGCGTACTCAAGTGTCTTTTATACTCGCTAGACTACAATCCATACCTTGTGCCGTATTACGTTGCTATATACACTTTCTCAAGGACTCTAGTGACAATGGTATTGGAGATTTTCCAAGACAAGCATAATCGTAATAAGCCGGAGAGAATTGGACGATATTACAAGAATATCAAGATTGACTGAATGTAATATATATGAATTAGCCCGTGGACGTAGAAGACGTTGAGAGTATAGGCAGATAGACAAGAGAAGGACGTGTAGTTCATTCACACAATGCTGCTGTTACTGACGGAATAAAATAGAACTAATTTATTTACCTAAAAAACCATTATGGTTTGACCATTGAGTAGGAAGGAAGCCATGCATTTCGCACTATTATTTTATTTTTTTAAAGCAAAAGTACAAATGCCAACAGATGTAAGTTCTAACTATCCTCAACTATTGCAAAACCATCGTCTTCGTAACAGTTTATATATAGATACGTATAGAGTAAGGGTAGAATTTGTAATATTTTGTTTTTACTCTCAACATGGAATTATTTCTCATTTTATCCCCCGCAAAAGTGAACATCTTTGTAATTATCCACATTGTCTTTGCCAAGTTTCAAACACTAAATAAATACAATTTTTGAATTTTAAACAGGTATTTAAAATGTCTCATATTGACTTTTAAATTAATATATAAGTTTGGATGGAATGTGTATATATATCGAAGAGGGGTAAAGTATAGCAAACACCAAAACCAAGCGTAAAGGAGAATCAAACGTGTAGGTTTTACAACGCAAACGTTGTCATAGATCGGTTGGTAATTGGAACGTTGTGATTTGTGGTAAGTATGCACAGGCCGCCAGGTCTACTACATACACATCATCGAAAACGTGATGACCATCGTAACCACCGAAAATGAATAATCGCGAGTCATGAAGTACGGCAGTGTGATAGCCGCGGGAAGATGGAGGCACACCATACACTTTACGACTTTCCCATTCCATAGTTACTGAAAACAAATGAATATAGTAGCGTGAGCACGACAGATCAAGAATACAATCACATGTATAGTATGTCAACATAACAATTGTCACGTACCTAAATTCAATAGTAGCACTTCCGACGTATACCTTGTACCGTCGTGGCCACAGACTATGAACAGGTACGATCCGACTTGTGTTGATGTGTGCGATAAGCGAGGGAAAGATTTGTTTATTTGCACTTCAACCCAATAGAGCTTGTCTACGAGAACATGGAGGGGAACAAGATTTAGACGATTACGCATGTGAGATTATCGAATATTGAATCGCGCTTGCGCATCCGAGTTTTACGTTATTTTCCTCTCACAGTTCTCGAAAGAGAATAAAAGCTTACCTAGATCCAAAATATGTACGTCCCGAAAACAATCGTGTCCGTCACTTCCTCCATAGATTATCATTTTACTTCCAACTAAATTACTAGTGTGATATCCCCTCGAGGTAGGTGCCCTTCCCTCTGGTTCTAATTTTTTCCATACAAGATTGGTCATGTCTGAAATGTCGAGAGAATATACATCATTAAGGGCACGCACACCATCACCACCAGCAAATACATAGACATGGTTGTTGTAATATACAGTCGTATGTGCGCGCCGAGGACTTGGTGCCTGACCGGAAGTCATCGGTTTTGACCAAGTCATCGTATCTGGTTATTGGCAAATCATGTTAGAGTCACTTATCGTTTTTGATTATTTGCAGTATATACACGCTCCTCTACTTATTTTTCCTTTTCGTACACTAGACGAAAGTTTCACATACCCGTGTCAAAAACGTATAGATCATTAAAGTATATTGGGCCGTCACCACCCCCGAATATAAACAGGCGTTTATCGACAAGTGTTGAGGAATGAGCACGGCAAGACGGCGGTGGATCTCCATATACTTTTGGCCTGCTCCAATACATTGTGTCTAAAGGATGAAAGATGAAAGAGAGATAAGCATTTGATTTGCACAGCTTGTTTGTCTTTCCTTCAACTTGCAGATTCGAATTGCATTCATTGTAACCATTATGCTATAATCGAGACGCACTGAAGACTATGATAAGATCTCTTTCAAAAGTACCACCACCATTTTCCATTTCACATTTTTCTTTCTTGACTTACCTGCATCAAATACATAGACTGTATTGAAACAAGTTCTCGCATCACAGCCACCAAACACGAACATTAATTCACCAACCAAGTTGACCGTGTGCGCTCTCAACGGTCGTACTCCTGGTTTTCCATGTGTCTGTATTCTCGACCAATACATTGCTGGAGCAGGAGCGGGCGCAACTGACGGTGAAGGAATTGGTAAATTATCTCTACGACGATGATGATGGAGATGGCGATGGGGATGATGTACATTGTCCTGGTCTCTATTAGCGTTGTTGTTTATGGCATATCTATCACCAGGATATATCGGATTAATTAAGTAACCATTATTCATAGATGCGTTTTGTAGTGGAAGAGTAGACCGTATACTTCGGTCATTAATAAATGTTGTAGGAGAGTTAATCGGCATCCCGTATCCATTCCCGTTTCCTTGTGCTCCTCCATTTAAACTTAGACCGCTTCTTACTGATCGTGGTGCATCACTACTGCTTGGTGACCCAGCACTGTTTGGGGTATCGCTTGCTGTTTCAGACGAGGTTTGTATGGAAACAGGATTTGACATTGCGTCTTCGAAACCGTTTTCGCCTAGAGTAGGTGATTCCGGGCAGGCGGGGGAGTTGATTGTGTCATCATCGGAGGGAAAGTGTTCTGCCATGAGAAATTAAAGGTGTAGAGGGTATGTCGGTATGGGTGAAGTTACGTTGTAAAGTATGGTCTGATAGAGCATTAATGAGTTAGTGAAAGAGCGAGTGAGTTGAGGACGACGAGTTGAGAGAATGTGTGCAGAAAAGAACAGTGAGCAATTGCGAATGTATGCTTGCTCGTTGACACGTGATCTAGCTTGGGAGTTTGTGTGGTGTTGACTGAAGTTCGATTGGGCATGTCATGGCAGGGGATCGGTTGTCGGGATAATAAATGGGATATGTAACAAACATATCAAATTCGTGTGACTGTTAAGTAAATCACGTTATTCTAACGGGTTACATATAGGGAGCACAATATTAGTAATAAATGGTGAAGGCAGGAACCACATATATTTTTCGTAACCAATACAAGGTTTAAGATCAACAAAATCAATGCTGAAAGGTAGGAAAGTCGGTTGTCAAATGTGTCTAATAAACGTTTCGATCGGGGAAACGAGAGGGACGAGAATGCAAATGAAACTATTTAATAATCAGGAAAACTAAGATATCGTGTGTTATGCGTCGGCTGATTACAACCGACTTTTTTCTTAAAATTAAAACTAATATCATTAATAAATTTTTCTGTAAAAAGGGCCTTTTTTTTTTTTGAGAAAAAAATAAAATAAAATTATTTTTACGTCTGATCGAAAGACGATTTCACGGTTTGACGCGATGATTTAACCAAATATGAACATAAGCTACGATAATAAAACTCCACCCTAAATCTCGGGCATTTGCGTCCCATATAGTTACTCCGATGAATGTTTGTACAGTAAATACAACTTTATTTAAAAAACAGCTTGCAAAGAAAATCTCTCATTAACAATTGCAAATATGCATTATCGTACCAATTTGGTCTTTTGCCTTTTGTACCTTGTCTTCTATTTCCAAAAAGCGAGCAGAAAATAAAAACATACGTATCGTGACGTAATCTATCCTATTTCGTGGCTCTGACCCCCGAATTTGATACCCCTAAAATTCCAACTATTTTGCAACGTTATGTGACATACGCAGCAATTAATAAAGTTGCAGAGTTCCGAGGAAAAAACATTACCATTATAAATTGCGCAAAAATTGTTTATGTATTCTCGACACAGCAAAGCTGGAAAATAACAAGTCAACAACTAAAAATGGAAGACACACCGCTAATTGCCGTAAGTTATCAAATCGAATCAATCTGCCTTTAAAAATATGCGTGCCTTTTGCACAAATATGTATTCGGATTTCCCCTCTCAACTTGTTTCATTATACAGGCACATAGATATGCAAACGACGCGGAGGAGGCAGAAGAGAGGGAACAGTGGCAGAACGCCATGGAAGCACATTATCGTGCTGCTGGTATGTTGTCTTTCAAGATGTCGTTCAAGTATAATGCTGCGTCTATTGGAATTTGCTCACACACACTTCCGATTCTTCTTTTACACAGAAAAATTCTTAGAAGCCATAGACTGTACATCTGATCAAGGGGTAAATATTTATCTACGACTGCTAGTATACAGACAAATTGATATCTTGTCCTCTTGTTTTATCAATGACATGTATTTATTTACCCTGTCAACGTTACTGATCGAGTTTTCCTTCTTTTCACTTTCGAAGGCAGTGAGAACACTGAAACTTTTATACGCCAATCATACAAGGCAGGGGAAAGACTTGGGGCGTCGTCTACAATCTTATGCCTCATCCTCTTCCCGATCATATACCGACTTTGCTACACCGTCAAACACTCAGTCCTCACGCACCGCTCCACCCTCTCGTCTTACAAAGCGTGGCCATCCATCTTCAAACCCTCCCCGCCCCGGCGCTGGTCAATCTACTTCCAAGCATGCTACTGGCACATTTCCTGGTCATGATAATCGCAAGTCTTCAAATAACAAGCATCACGTCAATTTCAGTCAGACAGATTTCTCACTACCTCGACAACCGCTGACGTCTCTGGAGAGCAGTACCATTTCCGACAAGATTGATGAAAGCTACATGGTTTTACGTCCTGGCAATGATAATACAGATGAGGATGATGCAGATCCGTTCAATAAGTTTTGGGAGATTGTAGAGACGTTAGTGCAGAAAGTGTCAAACCCTGTTGCGTTTGCTACTGCACCATTGACGAGTAACGAGAGTATTGATGGTCTGAACGCGGACGGAGCAATAGGAAGAAATGGCGATGGCAGGAGAGTTGGCAAGGGTAGAGTTGATAAGAGAAGTGATAATACGAGCACCGGTGGTAAGTAATGGTGATGTCATTGGCTCGTTGTTGTGTTTTCAAAAAGGTGTATTCACTTTTTACTTGTTCAAATTGTAGACGATAGTCAAACAGATGAGCTTACATCGCAAATGTTGGAGTCATTTTACATAATACCCAAAGAACAGAAGCCAGGCCGTCATAATAGTCATCAGTCGACTTCGTCGAATACAAGGTTTGCCTATTCCGGTAGTAGTAATGACAAAAATTAGCTATAAATAATAGTGCAATTTGCATAAGAAATAATTGTAACAGCTATCCATGTCAACAATTAGTAGGTATTGACTATATAAACGAATGTATTTAGTAAAATAGGTTATGCAAAGACAATAGAAGAATATGCAATCGAGAATAAGCAATTGAAAACTATAATTGATAACATGTCAAAAAGAATGAGTGCTTACGAAAAGGTAAGCGGAAATTTTATTATAAAAGCGAGCGAGCGTTACGTCATAATGATCCATTTTTATACGAGTATCTATTATCTCCAGGCGGCGCAAGAGAATAATATGTTGAAATCAAGCATTCTTCAATTCAAGAATGATATGCAAAAGCAGGTTTACAAACATTTCTTTATTTTTCCTAATTTCGCGCGTTAGGATTATTTACTAACAATGTTTTACCATCTAGGCCAAGCGCATCAAGGCGTCTCAAGAAATACTACGGGGTTCGGGTTCAGGCGCATCAAAAACGTCTCCAAAAACGTCCCCGAAAACGTCTCCCGAAAACTCAACAGGTAAGTTACAGAGAAAACAGACTGCTCCGATAACTGGTGAGAGTGGCAGAGGCGGCCTCCTTTTATCCTGGGCATGATTACTGCAATGACGTACACATAATTTTTATATCATGGATTTTGCTATCCCAACCGTCCTTGTTCTCTCTTTACACACTTACGACAATTGTCATTTCCGATTTGGAAGACTTGCCGGAAATTCCAGCCTTCACTAACTTCTTTACAAGCCTGTATGTACGTCTGGGGCACCAAAACTGTTCTACCATCTTGTTTACTCGGCAACTCTGCAAATGGTTGCATTATTAAGAAAAGAGGCTTGAATTACAGATGGGAGAAGTTGCTATTAACGTCGTATGGAAATCTGCTGTTAGCAAGTTGCGAATATTTGTTGATGATATATGATTGTGAGAACGCACTGGTTACATCTTGCTTGCATCGGAATTTTGAACAGATTTTGACTGTCAATAAGCACATTGGAATCGAGTAAATAGAATACGTGTCATGAAATTTTCATGGGAGCTGGTTGTCGACGGCTACAAACAAATGCCTTTAAATTTTTGCATTCTTTGTAGACTTCCTTAGATCACTTCTAAATACTTCGAGACCGCCTTTGACCATTACAATCTAGCCAACAAATGATCTTTTCGTCATATTAAAATCCCAACATTTTTTCGTTTGATTAAAATTGGTTTGTAGTTTCAACGACGGTGTTTCTACAAGGACGAATAAAAGAACTTGAGGATGAGTTACGATCCGTCAAAGCTGAAAACGAACAGCAGGTATGACAACGTGAAGATTCATCTATTGTACCGACAACAACCTCATAGCTTTGATAGATCAATTCGTTATTCACTTGTGCCTCTTTTCGAACTGCTATTTGTAAAATATCCAGGCAGCAAAAATGGCAAAATATCGTGCGCGATGGGAGACTCTCGTCGGAGATGCTCGGAAGCGACGTACTACCAAAAATCCAGAGCGACGGTCATCATCAGGACACTTGTCTGCAAAATCTTCTGGGAAATCGTCCGAACAATCGTCCGGGCAGCCGTCTGCACCACCGTCTGAACAACCGTCCGAACAACAATCTGAACAACCATCTGAACAACCATCTGGGCAACCGCCTGCACAACCGTCTAGACAATCTTCTAGATCATCATTTAATACAAATGGTGGACACAGACAAGATGAACCAGAATCCAGTATTAAACCCAACGGCGCGAGCACGGATAACAAGATAAATGGTGTTGAAATGAGAGTTAGTGAGATATTTTAGGAGTTGAGATAGAATTGGGAAATGAAATTGATCGAGTATAGGCATGTAATAATTAAATGTAAAGATATAGGTATTATTAAAACATTGAAAAAGTATGTAAATGATGTAAATGATAGCGTGTGGTCATTTGCCCCCATTTTCGTTCATGTGTTTGTCTGTTTTCGTTCGCATCGTCAGCATCCCTTCAGTGGAATGACATTGAATTAGTAGCACGCACATGACATCATCGAAGCATGCACATATTCCTAGAAGCAAGACAATAAAAATAGAACAAAGATCGTGATTAAACCAAAGGATTGAATGTCATGTAGGATCACGTTCTATGAATATGTTGTGAAGAAATGTGACCAAGGTTTTTATTTTGTTTTGTTGAGCATCTCGTCTACCCTACATATTATTTATCCGTAACGAATTCTTTTAGGTTGCCCACATAGAAATATACGTAATATACCTGTTCATCATTCCTTATTATGTAAATTGTACATAACCAATGATATATTTGCCTATGGATTGTCCAATTAAATTTACGTTATTATAGAGCATGTCACTGTTGGTCAAAGAAAAGCGTTTACTTCAAGGTTTCGAACGATGCTTGATATCATTGCTAAAATAAAGTGAGCATTTGTTATTAGAAATTGGGTCAACCTAATAATATACAAATAAAAAAATAAGGAAATATCTGTTAGGTAAACATGAAACCGATTAGCCATTTACTACAATCGAGTGTAATGACTGCAAAAATTCATTATCCGAAGCTATACATTAGTCTATGACTTGCGTATAATAATAACGTATATGACCCGAGTATACATACTATCCATATGCCAACGTTAGTAAATAACTGGCGAATAGCATTTACTGTGCGCCATCTGTATGTTGATGTATGACTATGCCATGCCGCTATCCTGTAGTGATTGCTGCTTTGTGTTCATTGTGTTGTGTCGTTTGGCTTTTCTCCCCCCCTCCCTCCTGGCTGCTTTCAGTAAACGATAACGCTCTTATCAATGATTAATATCTCGGTATTATTCTTCGGTAATACAAAAACTTTTTATCTTTCCTTTTTGCTTATATGCATATAAGTTTCAAGTGGGCTAAACAGTAAAATTCGGCACCTGTTCTGTGTACAAACTTGTTACGGAGTAATTATTAATAAACTGTTACTATATATTAACAATGTATTTTAAACGCGATTGTATATTCGGTAACCAGGTATATACTCAAATATTGAAAATATTTATATTATCGGGCTATACCGTATTAATTAGTTCTTTGTCCTTCCATAGAAAAAGTTTACAGATAACATGCGCCATGGCTGTAACCAATGGCCGCTATCTACAAGAGCCTTTAACAATACGCAAAATAATTAAGGTTTTAAAGTAAGTAAGGAAGCGAGCATATTACAAAGAAAATTCACTAATTCGAATTAACATAGTGAAACAGTCAACAACGCGAAATTATGACTTTTGATTTTACTCTTATAATAAGATGCGGTACAAGCTGGTAGCAAGAACGAGTATTTGCCATATGATAAAAACTATTACAAGTTTAATATGTATATATTAATGACATATATTACTGTACTGTAAAAAGTTTTTCCGATAGTCGTGTTTCAATCATGTGTTTACAATGGTTAACCTAATAAATCTTTTAGCGTCGACAAAAATACTAAACCTGGAAATTGCGTGTCTCGTGAGTTTATATTTTTCCCCAAAAACGAGTCAGCTGATATTTAATAGGCGTATGCAATGGAACGGAAGTTCGATCAGTACAACTAGAACCTTGCACCAATAATATAATCTATCGACACAAAATCGTGTTGTGTATTTTAAAAACAAGAAACGGGAAGCGAGGGAACGGATCGATAATTTCCCTTTCAATAGCCTGATAGCATAATTTAACTTTATAATTAGTAAATCCTGTATAGTCATTATGATTAAAATTAAAACCTTTGCCAGCAAAGAATACTTACGGCAGAGTAATTGTTCGTTCCATTAATAATAATAATAATAATTGTAAATTAATTAGTAATATATTGTAGATTTCTCTGCTTCTTATACATGTCCTACCACGCGTCGCGTAACTTTAATAAAATTGCGCTTATGGCTGTCTTCGCTTTCTCCCCTACATGCTAACTATATTTTATACTTGGACTTTTGAATTGTGACCATTGTATTTAATATACCTGTATGACTTTTTTTGCAGAAAAACGGGCATTGCATATGACCAATTACTACGGCAGTCGAGATAATGCAAAGATGCTATTTGCTGTATAAATTTACGTCTAGGTAAACAGGTGCCGTTAATGTCATACAGGGAAAAAAAAAAAAGAACCCAACATCCAGTTTAAATTATAATATACGTCTTAAAGTGTTGTAGAAATAATTAATTAGTTCGGCGCGGTAAGTACGTCGCAGAGTTGGACATAATATAATTAGACACAATGAATCTATTGTAAATAGAGTTTGAAAAAAAAATGTGTGTTATCTTTTAATGATGGTGGCGGGTATGCAGTTATATAGATTATCGACAACAATATCTATTTTTGGTTAACGCTTACTATATTGTCATTAGGGTGTAGGGCATCCACATATCATTACAATTGTATGCAATGTCGACAGTTGTGGCTTAGTCGTAATAAAGGCTCGATAAAGTTATTACGGGAGGGACAAATAAATGTAAGTATCGCGTGTTTGCCGTTCAGCCTATAACTAGGGTAAGTCGATTATTACACAAAAACTTGTCAATCGTTATTTTCATTTTCGTTAGTATTGTCTACGCATGCGGTGTGTCGTTCTATTTTTCTAATTTGTCGGCAACTGCATCTATATAATTGATTAATTATCATTGCATATTTTGATACGTCATAAATGATTGTTACACGAGAAATACAAATTAGTTGTCGTCATACTATGGTATGTCGTTCGTATTGTTACTTTATCGCGCAAAAAGATAAATATGGGTTTTATGTAATCATATGCTCGTTGTATCTTTTCTAACCGATCTGTTTGTTGCATACAGACTCTGTGTATAAGACCAGTTCAAGATTCTTTGTTGGCACTCTGAACGATGTCGATTTGTTTGTTTACGACAAGTGTAACACAAAGAAAGCGCTGCTGATTGTTAGCTGATGTTGTATCACTCGAAGAGTCTGCTTTTGATATAGATTTGTTTTAGTATCGAGTACGGGAACAGGCCCTAACTGACCAGAGGTGTTTATTAGCAAGGAAAGTTGCGATGATTCGACGAGCATTCAAGAGTTGATAGACGTGCATGTTTGGATTTCAACTTCTGAATCGTACGTACATATGCAAACAGAAAATTCCATATTTGTACTCGAACCCAAAACAGCGTTTTTTCGGCAATTGTGTACCCACGTTATATTAAAAAAAAATTTTGAATACACTATGTTCAAATGATGTCAGTAGCACAAAGGGGGGAAGTATCATATCTGTGCAACACTTATGAATTGAATTTTATCAGATATCGAAGCATATACCAGACAGTTGAAGTGAGCAAAATGTGTGCGTCGATCAACCAATAAGAGACTATGCATAATCGAAATACAGGATGCATGCTAATGATGATCAGCTTTGAGTCACAACATGGTCGACGGCTTATTGACTGTTGAAATATTTTGTCTGCCATTCATTACTGGGCAATCCCCATGTCGTCAACTCGAATTTACTCTGTGATTCTGTGTTGCTAGTTCGTCTCTGCCTAGTTTGGATTACAGGGATGATTTCATAATGATGATCATAGCTAGAGAAATATTTGTTCGAGTTGAAAACCCAGGGTGGGGACGAAATTGTGACACGCGATTATCCCGTGAAACGTAAATGGCAAATACTGATTCGCGGATAAAGAGTTGATTATGCCGTAGATAAATGAAGTAAAATCCCCCATTGTTTGTATACGATATTAGTCTAGCATATACTGTGTTGACGTGGTAGTGACTTATTTTCATTTGTATGGGTCGATACTACATATTTTTGTTATGTTCAATCGTTCTTTATTTGTTTATTGATTTGAATTTCTTTTTTTCTGTTTCCATGTTTAAATATGGTTACGTTACCTAATGCTCATCACAAGTAACTCCCTGTTCCGATCAAAAAAGTTTATCCTACGACGAATTAAATAGCGTGTCTTGTGTCTTTGTCAATGTGCTCAGCCAACCAACCGCTGCATATGTACACACACAAACAACATTTTCTTCGCTCATCAATCTCATATATGTCCTTTTCTGCTTCCCACATTTACCAATTGTCATGTGTTTCGCATGACTACATCAACTCCCACACTTGCTGACATAACAAACATAAACACATATTATTCGTATATAATAGCCTGCTATTCCCCCCCAGTCATCTCTTTCTCTGTTGTACGCCCACTGATAAACCAAAGTTGGTTGATCTTGGGATGGATAAATAAATTAACAGCAATCTTGGATTTGAACTAATGTAGTTTTTATACTGCGATTATTAATTGGTCAAATTCGATGTAGTTTAATATTTGTAATGATAATAATAATTGAATGCTTACCCGGATGTCTAATAAGCCTTATTAATTCCTCATTATGTATTTATTAACTTCGACTACGATAAACAAACAAGTATTTAATAAGCTACTTCAATATATATACACACATTATTTACTTTATGGTAATTCGTTCTTGTATTCTTTTATTCCTTTTTCATCCTTTCCGTTTTACTGTCCAATCAGTTGAACAGGCGACTGTGTTTACTAACATAATGTGGAAAGGCGAGCGCGGAACATAACCACTGATATAGACTAATCAATCCTAAGCTTAATAAACACAGTAATCTATCTGGATTATATAAATAATACAAAGTTTGCGCATCAAAGAAATCTACATGTCTCCTTTTCCACAACCACCGCATTAAGGGAGAGGGAGCGCAGACATCCACAACCACTGCATGCTTATCTCCCATTATTGACCTGTTATCTTTGATACTTGCAGATACAGCGCGTTCTCAGATATATATTACTATTACTGTTTCGCTCTCCCGTCCCGAAATAATAAACACTGAGAACAGAATATTATATGGTATCACGTGATTGATTGGTATATTATCACGTGAATTCGTGATAGTGTGGCGAACTTTTTTGTACAGCAAGCAGTAAAATATATAGGCAGCAATAATACGAATTAAAAATATGGGTCATAAGAATGATAGCAATATATCAGTAGTAGTTAAGTAATGTGGACGCGAAAAACTGGGCGTATTTGCTATACGTATTAATATTAGTGCTTACTGTTTTTCTCAAGTTTCTCCGTCAGCAGCGAGTCTAACGACAAAGAGAATGACAAATATTAATTAATATATTTTCTATTTGTTACCTATATTACTTTATTTAGCGTTATGGAACTTTCAGGAATTATATTAACTGTTAATCGGATAATAGTTTCGGCGTATGCTAGGTTATATATTTTATTTAATAAGTTTTTAACACTATCAGCCGCCTCTTAAGCGGAAGGTCACACAAAGGGGCAGGAATCAATCAAGTCCCTCAAAAAAGCTATACACACTATTTGCCTAAGCATTGTCCTTAACAGATCTCAACTATTTTTACTGTAAAATATTTTAGTTTTTTATTAAATTTTGTTTGATTCATATGAAATTTTTATCACCATCTATATATACTCTATTACAAGCTCCATCTTTTCTGCAGCCCAAAATATTAAATGGAAGCGCCAGATTACGACTACCAACAAATACCTTCTTCATTATCTCCTCTGGCTCCTGCTATGTCTTCCGCAACTAATACTCATCTCCCTTCTAACAATGTAAACATATCCTCAGCCCAACCCTCACAACAACCTCCAAACTCATTAGACAACCTACAAAACACCCCTCTATTAATGGTAGACTCTCAATCTCAAGTTCTCGTTATGGGCACCACTCCTACTCCTCTTCCGCATCCTTCTCAAGTCTCAACACAACCTACAGTTCAAATGTCATCAATAGCAAATGAAGTATCTAATAGCGCATCTGACCTGGCCGCTACTATATCAATGCCCGTATTGGTCGTCAATTCGGCTCAACAAAATCAACAACCTATCATGCCCGCCGATCCACAACAACCTATGGTTATTCTAATAGACGGAGCTCCTCAGAATGCACAGCAATCACCACAAACAGTACAAGTTACGACTAATGAACAAGTTGCTTTAATAGTAGACCCTTTTCGTCTTACTGAACCCAATGGACATATGGACATGAACATGGCTATGGCAAACAACAACCAATTAACAGACATGTCTCATCAAGCCATACATAACGCTGCTACTGCAAATCAACCTCAATCGTCTCCTATACAAAACGAATCACATGCTATCATGCAGGTGACAGATGCACTAGTGAGAGCAAGCGATCAATTTGAAGCCGCCAAGTACAAAGTTGCCCGAGCCGAACTAGTTCAACAAGCTCAGTTAGTTCAGCAGGCTCAGTCCCAGCTGCAAGTTCATCCTGTCGATATTGTACAGGCACATCATCAAGTAATACAGGCGAAAGCAGAATTCGTGCAGGCCCAGAATCAAGTAATACAGGCACACGCGGACTTCACTCAAGTAGCCGAACAAGTGGCCGAAGCTCAAGCTCAAGCACAAGTGCAGGCTCAGGTGCAGGCCCAAGTGCAGGCCCAAGTGCAAGCTCAAGCGCAAGCTCAAGCTCAAGCTCAAGCACAGGCTCAAGCACAGGCTCAAGCGCAAGCTCAAGCACAAGCACAGGCTCAAGCACAAGCTCAAGCTCAAGCTCAAGCTCAAGCTCAAGCGCAGGCTCAAGCACAGGCAGTTCAAGCAGCACAGGCAGTACAAGCAGCACAGGCACAGGCTCAAATTCCTCAATCTCTTCCTGCTCAAGCTCAACCGCAACATCAAACACAGCCATTAGGTTCTTCACTAGTCACTGACGAAGCCCGCGAAATTCATCCTTCTCAACCTCCACCATCTGACCTTTCTACATCTTTTACCACTACTTCTGCTGGGACGTCTCCGAATGCGCCACCTCCGTCAGCACCCATCCAACCTGTAGTTCCCTCATCTCAGCAAATTGTTGATTCTTTATCCTTTACCGAATCTTCTCAAATTGCTTCAATGGCCGACTTGCAACCAGTGAATGCCCCTCTAGCCGTTCAACCGGAAACGCTAACACCTCAACAGCTTGGAGATCTGATTCAAGGCAATCCCCATCTCATTCAGGCAGCTAACCCACAAAACAACAACACGATTACACCAAATACGGCGGTCATAATGCCTAATCCGAACGAGATGTTGGGTCAATCCATGATCAACGCATCGACTCCCATAGTATCAGATCCTAGAGGACCGCAGCAACGACAGGGAATTGAGCATATAATGACTATACCTGGTATGGATAATACGATCAGTGTTCAACATATGCAATTGAACGACTCCACCCATACAGGGTTGCCCACCCTGCATTTTGCGTCGTCGGCTGGTTTGACAGCTGGTAATATGTTTTTGGTAAATCTAGATGAATCGAATCGGCGACCTTCTATAACTGCACAGCAGGGACAAGGACAGGTATGTCATTATTAAACTTTCGGGGGAAAATGTGCTGATAGGGAATTGGAGATCATGTTTATTGTCACGAAAGCAGTATGGTTTCATTTACATCCGATGTTATTATTGGAATTTACATACTAACAAGTTTTTACCTGCACTGTTCTACGTATAACCTTGCACCCACTAATAAACAACGCGCAACCTTGTTCAAACCAATACTAAAATATCAAATTTACGTCATTGCCAACATCCATGTTTAAAGCCCGCAACGACGATAGTGTCGGCTTCGGCTTCACCGGCAACGAACGGTACAAACTTGATAATCAATGTTGGTAATGGTGGTAATGTTGTAATTGAATCTTCTCCACATCAACAAGGTCTAAGCTTCCTTAACGAGCAAACTGCAATGTTAACGGCTGAGGAAAGCAAGCAACAGCATCAGCATCAGCATCAGCAACAGCAGCAACTTGTCGCTGACCAAGAATACAAAGGCTTGCTACGTAATGATGCATTGCAAAAGATTGCATGTAATGATATAAAAAACGTAAAAATAGAGCCCGAGCCAATGGAGACTGAGCCGACTCCTGTCTCCTCCCAACTACCAGAGAAACGTTCTATCGATCAGCAGCAAACGCAGCGTGCTCAACAGCAAACGCAACAGCATGCTCAACAAAAGCAACAGGAACACCAAGAGCAGCAGCAGCAGCAACGAGAACAACAAGAAAAACGAGAACAACAAAAGCAACAACAAGAACAACACCAACACCAACAAATTCAACAACACCAGCAACAGCAACACCGACAGGAAGAGCAGCAGAAACAACAGCAACAGGAACAGCAGCAGAAACATCAGCAACAGGAATATCAGCAACAAGAACATCATCAAGAACAGCAACATCAGAAACAGGAACAGCTACAGCAGCAACAGCAGCAACAACAACAGCAGCAACAGCAGCAACAACAACAGCAACAGCAGCAACAGCAGCAGAAGCAGCAACAGGAAGAAGAGCAGAGACAAAAGCAACAGCAACAAGAACAGCAGCAACAACAATCCTCATCTAATCAAGATCATAAGTCTCCTGGATTGCAAGAAAACAAACCCCCTCAACAGACCACCACTGACATGCTTTCATCCGCTATTAGGAAAGATTCACATTCCACGACCTCCAATAATAAGGATTCGTCCAATTCTGCAAATACAGAAAACAATGATTTGACCTCGACAACTGGGAGGTTAGAGGATTTATCCAGAGACCAGATCCTGCTTAGGATTGGGAAATATGAGCATGATGATCTCACAAACGATCAGCTACTTGCAAAATTACGTGGATTGATGCGAAGCAGTAGAGATGCTAGTGGAAAGAACATGAACGAGAGGAAAACGTCGAGATCGACTTCTTCAAGACGGTCGTCCGATTCCGATGGTAAGTATAATGTAAGAGATATCGAACTAAACGTTTTTGAGCAAACTCATTGTGTTGAGATGCACACAGGTCGTACAAATGACATGCGTGTAGGTGTAGATCGGAAGATGCGACAAAAATAATTTTATAGGAATAGTCTTCGTATTCGTCTAAAACGTAGTGGTATTACTATGCTGACATACTGCATACTACTGTAACGTAATTGACGCAATTGTTCGCACCAAACTTTCGAACTTGCTCTAATAGCTGAATCGCCTACCACTTAAATCCGTACATTCAATACCTTTTACTTTCTACTAATTCCAAAGTCACGCGAACAGACGACGTGGACCTACCACTGACTCCCGTTGAACCAATGGAAGACGTTCAACCGGTATCTTCCAATATATCGCGTGGTGGCGAAGCTACAGCTGACGCGACTTCGGGGACGCATTCCACCACAGGCTCGAAACAAGAAGACGACAGCAGAAGGGATTCTCACAAGTGTCGTTGGCGAAACTGTACCATGGCATTCCCGACGTTGGAGTCTTTAATAGAGCATGTTGGTGAAACGCATATTGGAAGTGGAAAGGTGAGCAGTTCGGTTTCAGATAATAAATCGGGTGGTACTCGTGAATTAAAAGAGTACATAATCTTCGAATGTACATAACAAGAACATTACTCAAAGTCAAATTTAGTCTGATTTTTAGTTTTGCTTATTGCTTCGTCAATTTTTGTAATTGATTAAAAAAGTGAACTTGCTTGATGGCTACTGTAGAACGTCACCATTTCCGTGAATTCCATAACTAATTCATGTCCTTTGTAAATATTATCGCTTTTTCTACGTGTAAAATTATCGGTATTCAGGCGACTTACTCATGCAACTGGGATGGATGTACACGAGGACCAAAACCTTTTACGAAACGCCACAAGATGTATAACCATCTCAGGACCCATACAGGTGAAAGGCCGTTCGTATGTGACAAACCAGGATGTGGAAAACGATTTTCGCGTCCGGATTCGCTTACTACTCATGCGAAAACACATTCGAATGTACGGCCTTTTGTTTGTAATCATAAAGGGTGTGGGAAAGCGTATTATCACTCACGGTCACTGAGAAAGCACGAGAAAACGCATGATCAAAGGTCACAAGCGCACCAAATTCCGTCGGTCAATCATGCTGCGCATTCAATTTCCAGCCTGCAAATTAACTTTGCCCCACAGTCAAGAATATTCTCATCGTCACATGGAGGCGCCGGTGCACAATCATCTTCAATGTATACTCACAGGCCACCTACATTTGAATCGGTTTCGGGTGGAATGACGAATGGGCCAAGAGATATCCGTCCTTCCGGACTACCCGCTTCAATGCATCATTTACCACCTTTACAGCTACATCCACCTCCATCGACCGTGCCAACTACAACAGGAGGTAACGGACCATTCAGTTATGGAAATTCGCAGCCGCAAAAGTACGTGCCGCAGATTACGTCACCGACGAATCATGCAAGATCCGCGAATTTCCCGTTCCAGTTGCAACCTCCGGAAATGGTACAACAGCAGCATCAACAACATCAGCCACAACATCAACAGCAGCAGCAGCAGCAGCAGCAGCAGCAACAACATCAACATCAACAGCAGCAGCAGCAGCAGCAACATCATCATCATCATCAACAATCATCACAATCACCACAATTACAACCACAACCACAACCACAGTCACAGTCACAACCACAACCACATTCACATTCACACTCTAATTCAAATAGACCGGGATAGATTAAGATGAAAAAGTTTTTTGAAGTTTCTTTGTCACAGCTCTTCTTTTTCTTTACTAATACTTTAAACAATAACTGTAAATACTTTTTCTTTTGGTTTCTTTTTTTCATTGTAAAGAAATTAATTTCGTTATATATATATATACGTATAAATACTTTCCTCTTAAAAAGTTGTACAGAAATTATTCTAACATGTAAGGCGCTCTTGATGCTATTCAAATGTTCTGGGCAAAGGAAAGAAAGAAAATAACAAACAAACAAACAAACAAACAAACAAACAAACAACAAACAAGCAAAACTATGGTAAGTATATGGAGGAAATGAGCAAAAAGTACATACATAAATGCACTATTGTATCATTGGGATTGTAAAATTGCCTTATTTGTGATTATGTGTGGTACAATCTGAACGAAAATCTAAAATAAAAATTTGGAATAACTAGGCCTGTTCAATTCTGTTCCGTTCCGTTCCGTTCCGTTCCAATTTGTGCCGATCCCTGATTGGCAGATTAAAAACCACATGATGGGAACAACAAATTTGCAGGGTGGCGACCAAAATAACGATAAATTGATTTTTGGGGTTCTCCGTTCCTATCTGTTCCCCACACACGTTTTATTAATAAGTGTAAAAAAATAAAAGGTTACGTTGCGCAAAAGGGTTCTAATGGCTTGTAGAAATATATATATTTTTTGTAAAGACTAACACTTGAAATCTTGGAGTGAAAAGAAAAACAACGGAACGGGGAAACGCGAAATTTTGTCCTCAATTCTCACGGATTTTTGATTGGTTGATACAATTTTGCCGTCAATCGGAACAGAACGGAACAGAATTGACAGGCTACTGTATTCACTCACGACCTTTTGATCTTTTAAAAAAAAGTACATTTTGATCTTTTAAAAAAAAAAGTACATTTTCTTAGGTTGACTGTATAAAAAAGATGGTATAATCTTTCTAAGAGTCGAATGTATATTTGTATAGCTTGCCGATAATGCACATTGACTTGCGTATAAATACATTCACAGACTACACTTTCACCAAACGTCGTCCTCCTTCCCCAGACACATCAATTGGAAGCCTTGCTTACTTTGATAAGAGACAAAACTACATCCAGGGGAGATTTCATTTTCTACTCGGACAGAATTATTAGGCTTTTGGTGGAAGAAGGTAAATGAAAACATCAGGTGCTGGAACATAGCTTGAACAAGCAAAACCGCTAGGCATCCGTTTCGAAGAAGGGGTGAGTTTGACAAGACTTTATTCACCATATCTTTAGGGTTAAATCATCTTCCCGTAGTCGAGAAGAACGTTACTACTCCTACAGGTAATCTCTCACGTCAAAAAAGCAAAATCCGCATGTTTATGTAAATACCTGACAGTTGTCTCATTACAGAGAAAGAATACGCAGGTGTTCAATTCAAGGGTAAGATATGTGGTGTATCTATAATGAGAGCTGGCGAGTCCATGGAACAAGGGTTACGTGAATGTTGTAGGTCCGTTGTTTCGCTCTTTGTTTTCATTCAGATAAGAAACTCCATTTTGACCAAACGGCGTTTAATATCTGATCCGTAGGAGCGTGAGAATTGGAAAGATCTTGATACAGAGAGATGAAGATACGGCAAAGCCCAAGGTAAGTGAGGAAAAAAAAAAAAAAGACAATTTGACTAGGAAGTTTACATCGTGAAGCCAATTCAGATCATCTACCTCCAATGAATACGTGTATAGCTCTATTATGCCAAGCTCCCAAATGACATTGATAAACGCTATGTGCTTTTACTGGATCCAATGCTGGGTGCGTTTGCGTTATATATTGACATGTTGTTGTCATACAAACGCTTTTTTTGAGATCAGCGTGCTGTTTACATTCTTACGGACTTGTCGCTTTTATCTCTCATGTCTAGCAACGGGCGGATCGGCCATCAAAGCAATAGAAGTGTTGCTTAATCATGGTGTAAAGGAAAATAAAATATTATTTCTTAATTTGCTTGCATCTCCTGAAGGCATAAAAGCAGTAACGAGTAAACATTCCGCATTAAAGATCGTTACTGCTTGCGTGGATGAAGGGCTAGATGAAAAGAAATATATTATACCAGGTCTTGGTGATTTTGGTGAGCCAAGCATTTGAATACTATCGGTTTCATTTTTGAAACCAGAACGCGCGCTAACATTGAATAACTATCGTATTATTAGGCGACCGTTACTTTACCCTTCCCTAATATATAATTGTTACACATGTAGCGATATGTTGTAGCGAATAAAATATTGTCTATTATATCACGTAATTATGGGGGGTCTGATAGCAATAAAAACTCACATTTATGTCAAGTAAATCGAAGAAACAGTAACGTACCCATTGATTGAGTGTATGTTATATAACATTAATTGGTGTGTTTATTTGCGAAACTAGTAGGAATGACTATGTTTGTGATCAGCATTTTTTGATTTCTATTATTGTCAATCATTTGTCTGATAGCGAAATATGATGGATACTAATTTCGCAAATAATGTTATATGACATACACTCAATCAATGGGCTAACGAACGTATGTTACTGTTTCTTCGATTTACTTGACATAAATGTGAGTTTATATTGTTAAAATTTACGTATTTGACAATTTTTATAATTCTTCACAACAGTAGTAAAAAAAGGCGTGGGTCAGTTTAAAGAGCACGTATTAGAGCATATATGGTTACAGTCTCAGGTGCGTAGCTCGCTTCCTTCAGAAGCCTTATTATTATTATTAATACTATTGTAAAATGATCGGCAATGATCGACAAAAAAAAGCACCATATGTAAATTTTATAAGTATGTTTGTAAAACTACTGATATCAGACCCCATAATTATATCTGAAACTATTATTGTGGCCAATAAACGATGAGACCGAAGAATCGAGTGACGTGCGATCCGAGGCTCTAAGAAATTGTTCAAACTAAATTTAGATATTCTAATCCTCGTTGGGGTAAGCTTCGCTGACTTGTTACAAAAAAGATTATTTTTAATTGTGTACTGCTGGCCACCATCGAGGATCCTCTTCGGAGACATGTAGCAAATTGGGGAACGACGATTAGGTATATAAACCTTGACTTTCATCAACTCTTGATGAAGGCAGAAACTACATTGGAAATGACGCCTACCGAAATTATTGTGTTGCCAACGGGCAAGAAAGTAGAAAGTAAGGTCACGAAATCTTGATAAGCAATTCACAGTACTAGCATCACTCATTTTAATACATCATTCTATGTTATAAATGACACGTAGTTAACACAGGTCTTTTTATTAATAACGAGTTTGTCGAATCGGTTGATGGCAAACGATTCGAAACCATTAATCCTTCGACTGGCAAAGTCATCACAACCGTTGCCGAAGCTACCCCAAACGACATTGACATTGCTGTCAATGCCGCCGAAAACGCCTTTGAAAAGGTCTGGAAGCAAGTTTCCAGCAGCGAACGTGGTCGATTACTATACAAATTGATCGAGCTCATTCGCAGAGATTTCGAAATCCTCGCTGCGATCGAATCGTTGGATAATGGAAAGTCGTTTGAAATCGCCCAGATGGCAGACCTACCGGTAGTGATCCAGACTTTCGAGTATTTTGCCGGATTTGCAGAAAAAATTAATGGCGAGGTGATCGATAGTTCTGACGATAAGTTCTTGTACACGAGAAGAGAGCCGATCGGTATTGTCGGTGGCATCATACCATTCAACTTCCCACTTTGTATGCTTTCTTGGAAAGTAGCGCCTGCACTTATCACAGGTATGCTTTTTTTTTTTTTCGTTTGAAAAATCCCGCATTTGGTAAATTTTTGCTCGTATAATTTCAATTTAGGAAATGTGATCGTCCTTAAACCTGCCGAACAGACACCGTTGAGTGCTCTATATTTGGCCAAATTAATAAGGGAGGCAGGGTTTCCTCCAGGGGTTGTCAACATTTGCCCTGGATGGGCCGAGGCTGGTAAAGCCATTGCCAGTCACATGAAGATAGGAAAAGTCGCGTTTACTGGTATGTGAGACACGTGTTCAAGATTCTTAATAAAAATCTTTTAAAACTAAAATCACGCCCAAACAGGTTCAACTGCGGTTGGTAGAAGTATCCTTCGAGCCGCCTCGTCAAGCAACATGAAGAAAGTAACACTTGAGCTTGGTGGCAAGTCTCCAACTATTATATGTGCAGGTGCTGATCTCGAAGAAGCTGTAAAATGGGCTCACATGGGCATCTTCTTCAACAGTGGACAATGCTGTACTGCTGGATCACGTGTATATGTTGAAGAGAGTATTTACGAAGAGTTTCTGGAAAAGTTCAAGGAACATGCGGCCAGTACTAAAATCGGAGATCCGTTCGATCAAGGGACATACCAAGGGCCACTAATATCCCAAGAGCAGTTCGATAGGTAGAATAGATGCATTTCGGGTGTGGATAAAAAGGAAGTATATTATGGTCGAACCACATTTAAAAACACGTCTTATTTAGGGTTATGGAGTACATCGAAGCAGGAAAGAACGAAGGAGCGACTTTGGAGATGGGCGGTGAGAGACACGGCAATCAGGGATTTTTCATTAAACCGACAGTATTTACCAATGTCGTAAGTTTAGAGTTGCCGGTTGCGTGAAAAGTTTTCAATATGCGAGTTTTTCGTCTACTAATTTCAACTATATAGAACGAATCAATGAAAATCATGCAAGAAGAAATATTTGGGCCTGTTGTTGCTGTTGATAAATTCAAAACTATCGATGAGGCTCTTGAACGAGCACATATGACGAATTATGGTCTCGCCGCAGCAGTGTTTACGAAAGATATATCCAAGGCAATATCAGTTGCGAATAAATTGAAAGCTGGAACTGTTTGGGGTAAGTCATAATAATAACAAGATTATGCCTGTTTGTTTACCTCGGGAAGTTAATCGATACTAACACGATGAATTAAATGTAAAAGTTAATTGTTACAATTTAGTTCATGCATCGGCGTATGTATTGGCATCATAGACCTTCCATATCGCTATTATTTTTGTTGGTAATGGCTGATTAATTTCATCTAACTAATTCTTCTCAATTGTTCAGACCATTTGGCGGATACAAAGAATCTGGTCACGGGAGAGAAAATGGCAAAAGTGTTTTGGACAGTTATACTGAAGTCAAAACTGTGTGCGTCAATCTTAATTTACCAATTTAGGTGTAGTCTATGGGTAATCCAATTTTTTGGGCAAATTTAATTGACGAGGTAAAATGTTGTCATTCAGACAATGCATCACAACAATAAAATATCATGTCTTTATTTAGTTAGACACAGAGTCTAATAATTAAGGGCTGGGTTATTTGCCAAGGGTCTAGGTCGCTTCGACGGTCTTTGTATATTCGGCGTAGGAGTGACGTGACAATAGATATGATTGAAGACACTACATTTATTTACGTAACTATAACGCTATCAGGCTTGTGAAATATTAAACACCACTGTGCTAGTATTATTTTGATTGTACTAATTCACAAGAGAAGCAGTTTCTAGTCACTACGCTTAACTCGTTCGATTCTTCGTATTGTGTTGTAAAGTTGGGCGTAATTGAGTGATTCCAAAAAAAGCAACTTAATTTATTTCTTTTGCGGTCATCCATCTTTCAGATTGATAAAAACGTTCGCTTGCTCACTATTACCTCATTATTACATCATTGTTTATTATTTTCACTGCGTGCAGATACGTGTCACACACGTGCAGACTTGCAATAAAAAAAGCTTTTACTAACCGATTTTATTGCTTTATTGTCCGCATGCAAAAATTCGTTCATACATTTGCGCGCGCGATGTTGAATTGTCAGAACTTGATTACATAATAAGGATGACGACACAGATCATAGAAATTGTGTTTAGGGACACGGGGAGTTCGCTGGTGCTGAAATGGTACGAATTCTTATGTTTCAGTCACAAGCGTCTATTTCTTGGATGAAATGACGTGTCTTAGTGGCGAGCGAGCTACAAATGAACCAAAAAAAAAAAACAAAAAACAAACGTAATCCCATTGGGAGAAAGTGCGATTTAATTATCAATGACCATCAACCGCTGCATCCGCTGCCAACGAACTTGCTCAGGACATCCTTGCAATCAATACATCTAGCACAAATCAACGGGGCTGGAGTTGAGTTCGAGCGAATTTGCGGGTGGACAAAATTGTGTACGGATCAGGGCAAAAACCTGGGTATTTTTCGTTTGCTCAAAACTTGTACTCTATATTTAGTTAGCTACTCTATTACCCAGCAATTATCTACAGGGTTCTAAAGTCACATCCTCGCATGGTAGAGGAAGTGCCTTTTTCCGACAGAGATGCAGAACAATTGTGCATTCATGGACTTCAAGTCTGCATTATGTAAGAAACGGAAGTGGCATATGCATCCCATGTATACATTCTTACAACTTTATTTTACTGCAGCTCTTTGAGGAGCATGCTATGCTGTGACACTGTGCTACAACGGTTTATATGTAGGGATTTAGTTGTGGTTCGCCGCTTGCATTTCCTCAATTAATTGCAGCCTTGAACTCTTTGAAGCCCAACGCTTGAGATATTGGTGAACTGGAAGGTAATATTGCCATGATAAATTGCAGTCCGTTTATCGATCATTTATTTAAGAGTTTTCGTCAGCGTGGATTTACCTCACCATCATGCTCATTTTTCTTGTTCAAAGTTGTGGCACCTAAAGGCAAGCAAAGTGATCAAGGAAAATGTCACTGAGGAAGTATCAATAACGCGCAGGCAGGAGAGGAAGGTTAAACAAACTACAATGTTATCAATGGGACACGTTTTTCTCCCCGCCAAAGCGCACTAAGAAACGAGTCTAGCTCAAAACCATGTATACGAATAGGGTAAGTTAATTAGTTCATCCAAAGTTTTGCAGCATATCATGTGTGAATAATGCGATAGATTTGTCTGTATCCATAATTGTCATATAGGGCAAATCATTAAGGCTTTATAGTAGACTCTCTCTACGCTGCATACAGTAAAATGCATCCTTTTTGATTAATCCGATTCATATTCTTAAGATTAATGGGTCTATATATTCTTGGTGTGAATTAGTAAAAATCTTGCATTGCCTGCTTACTATGACAGTCTCTTTCTTCAATCGTCATTTTTGATATTATAGTTACCGTAAACATACGAATGCTGTACTATCTGAGATAGTTAATAAAATGACGCATAACGCTATCCAAATTTATATCTTGAATAATACAGTATATCCAACACTTCCGGTGTTTGAACTTTAGTTCCGAAAATAAGCACACCTTTATTTTAACTATAGAAATGCTTATTTTCGGAATGCTAATTCACGATCGTAATTACTTTGGCTTGTTACGGGAATAGGTCTAAGCGTAATGGCAAGCTAAAAGATAATAAATCGTCTGAATTTCATTGGGGGCAAAGCGAAGAAAATACAATATACAAGGAAACTGCTCAGAATAAATTTTAGATGAAATGTGACGTAAAATTTATTACGATGGCCAATTGATTGGTGAAATTCCCTCCCGTTACTGTTCCAGTACCGTCCGTCATTGACTTGGTGCTTTAATGATTTCAATACGAAATAAAATATATTGACGTTTTATTATTTATTGCCGCAGCAAATAACAAATAAAATTGAAATCGCGAAGTATAATAATAACGCAAATGGAAATAAACATCGTGCGCCAATGACGCGATATGAACCAAGGAGAAATTAATTTTGAAAAAAAAAAGGACATAATAATAAAGGAGATGCTATTCGGGATAAAGCATTTCCAACCACCCATTTGTTGAAGTATCAGTGTATGAATCGGTTGTTGGTATTCAAACCGAAAAATCTCTGTAATTCCGCAGGAAGATCTTCTTTAAGCTCCCTATCTTTTATGAAAAAATGCTCGTCTATTTTGTAAATGCCATCTGCAATATTCTGGTTTATTCCGTCAATCTTCCTGCGCATGTCACCGAGGGGTTCGATGCATTCCTCATTGAGCGTGCGCAATTCTTTTATAGCCTTTTCCAATTTTTCACTTTCTATAGCTCCCCATATAGCACTTATTAACAAAGTTACCGCAATACCTCCAACGAGTAATCCAAGTAGTCCAAGTACTCCAATATGCTGTATGCCTTTTACGACAGTTTTGTATACTGGCTTTGCATGCTTAACTATCATGACTATAACGCATATAACAATTGAGGTCTGGAATATGCCAAATATTGAAGCCAATGCTGTGTGGATTTCCTTAAATTTTTCTAAATTACTTTTCTGAAACACTTTTGCATTCGTCTTTTCAAAAACTCCTGCTATATCTTTGATATCAAGGTCCTGTTCCAGTTTTGGAACTTTATTTATTGCGTCTTCCAATACTCTCTTGATCTCCTTGAGTATGTAATCCGGCTCTTGTGATGTCGGATTATAATCGAGTTTCTGTAGAACCCAATCCGGTCTTTTCTGTTTAACAGCGTTATTGAATGACGTGCACATTGTATTCCAAGACTTTTTAAAGTCTTCGAACCTCACTCTGAACCTGGTCAGATATTCTGACACTTGTTCTCTCTTCTTTACGTTATCCGGATAAAAGAGATCTACCAAGACCATGATGAATAATATTCGATGTTAAAAAGAATACCCAATGCTTATCAAAGTCGAGAATACATTTAAAGCTTATCAAAGTTGAGAGTACAATTTGAGATGGGGCATGCTGCAACAAAACCAGACTGTGAACGGCGATTTGATCATTTCGAATGCAGACCCTTCACGTCGCACGTTTCGTGCAGGCATTACGTTCACAGTTGGCGAACGTATCGTCGAGCGTTATGTCGTTGATTGCTGATACAAGATAAGTGCTTTTCCTAGATTTTCCTTTCAGATGCACGGAGCGCCAGTGTCGGGTGCGCCGCTTTGATGCCGCGTTGCTGGGTGTATAGCAGACATGCTTCGCGCTGGTGCCGTCCCCTGCGACCATAACGGCTTGGTTTGCTCTGTGGGGATATTTCTGTTGTGTTTCGACTTTTGAGTCGGTGTCCCCCATTTATCTATCAATCGCGGACAGTTGCCAGGCGAACTGGCACTCACTCTTTTGCGCCTTATTGATAAAATGGTGTTGTGTGTAGCAGACATGCTTCGCGCTGGTGCCGCCACAATGTCCACCTGGCAACGACCAGCAGTTTATATCTTTATGATATCTATGATCTATGTTATTATTATACCTCAAAATAACAACCGCTAATTCTCGCTTTTATCTTTCGGTGCTCAGAATTTGTATGCGACG